GGTCCCCAATCTTCACACCTGTTAGGTGCTAAGCAAAAGAAATATTCCTTTGTCTGCCTATTGAATGCGCGAAACGAGGACAATGGAATTCGTTTCAAAGGTATTGGCTAGGTATGTCTATAAAACATAAGTTCGATTTACTCATTTCATTCATGTCATATGAAGCTAGTTCTTTTATTGCTTACAATAGAGAATTTATATGTACTACTAGTTGATTCCCGCGATTTTGCCTATCAATTTTTATTTATGCAACTTAGAATGGCAAATAGGCTAACGGCCCGCCTGATGGAAAGTGATTACCGTCGCCTATAGACATGAGCAGTACCATAGATGTAACAGAGTATACTGTTTCGCCCATGATACTCCCCATACGCTGCTATTCATGAGGGCTCAGATGTTATTCCTCTATATCCTGTAAATTCATGCCATATCCCACCCTTCAAACCGAAACACAGCCATGCAAGCACAACTGCTTCACGGTAGAAACACGAATGGGATAGAGGTGCCCGAGCAAACGACTTTTCTACAAAGTCTCCCTCTGGTAAATACGTAAAATATTCTATGTGCTAAGGATATAACCAAACCATGTACAAAATTTTAGGCATGCTTATATGAACTACTAGCTGTTTCCCGCGGTTTCGCCTATCGAGTATCAATACGTAAAATATCCTACGTGCTAAGTTAGAATATAAACAACATATAATTTCATTTCAAACCGTTCAGTAATTTTTGCATAAAACAGTAACAAACATAAATCCATCCATTTTTAAAAACATTCATATTCATAATATTTATAGGATTTTTCAATAAGTTACTTTATATTTGTTGTAACGTTGTATACCTACAAATATTGTTCGTACTCTCTCTTGGGGGATTCCCTTATGGGGGAGGCCTATGTTCAGCACTGGGCAGGTAAGGGCTGATATCACGATGATTTATCAATATCTAGTGACATAGGTTTCCACAGAATAAAAACTGATTCAGCTAAATACTGTAAACCGTCTACTCCTTTGCCTCTCTAACAATAAAAAAAAAATTAAAGACCTCAGTCCGTACAAACGCGTTATCTGCATTACACCTCCGTCGTCAGTGTTTCGTCCTAAAATACTCCATAACAGAGTCCCCCACAGCATTACCATACAAACACCGCCAATTGAATACGTAGTGGGTATTGGGATGAAATTTTGGGCAGTCATTAGTATAATATCGTACTTTGATTCGCCGGTCGCCGTTCCACTGGGTAACTCTAACCTTTTTATGAGGTATTCGATACTAGCTGTGTCCCGCGTCTTCGCTCGTATAAATTAGCACATAAAGTATCCTATATACTAAATTAGGATATAATCTATACGTGTGCCAAATTTCATTCAAATCCGTTTAGTAGTTTTTGCGTAAAAGAGTAACAAAAATCCATCCATCGTTACAAACTTTCGCATTTATTATATAAATAGGATTTTTAAAAGTATACCCATGTTTGAGAAAATTCTACTTAACTACTAATGGTGTAAATTAATCTAAAACCATACATTATTATTATTTTTTTTAATAGTTTTCAACAATAATTATTTGCTATATGCAATTGTTGCGCAATATCAACCCAAATGTGTTTATTTTAATTATTCACATTTTTGCACAGTCGAAAAGGTTTACCTTAGCAGTGGTTCCATACTGATTTTGTAGACATATAATCTTTTTTTTAATTCTTCATTGACAGAACAATTCAAAAAGTAACATAGCGCCCTCTATCACATTTATAAAAAAAGAAACCTATTTATTGTAATCAACCCACATTCTCTCGCAAATCCACAAACACGGCAACAGCATTGGTGTTCTTAATTTGCGTTCAAAAAACGAACTATCAATCAAATATAAACAATATTAATTAATTAACATTTAATTTAACACTTCTATTTAGATTTATCGAGTTCGGAAACTAAACCCACTTCCCGGCGTCAATAGCGTGAAGATATCGATTCGATATCCGGGTGGGCTGCGGAGAAAAACGCTGGGAACAATAGTAGACCAGTCCGACGGGTTGCAGGGAACCTGTTTGGTAACCTACCTAAGCCTTATCGTCGAGGGATAAGATCTAAAATTGATTAGCAATGTTCCGAGTAAACTTTGATGTTGATATTACTTGCGTAGATAGATACAAGCAAGGAATGATTAATTTTATTACTTTCCAAGTATGCTGACATGTCACATTATGCAAAAGGTAATGCGTTATCTATTTATGACTATGCGACCGGTCGTGTGTCTACTTGTAGACTTTATAAGTGTCTAAGTGCACCTATTTGTAGACACTATAATGTCTACGAATTATCTTCACTATTTCTAAACCGTTTTTGATAGTTTTTATCGTAATTAATAGTATTTATTTCCGAATTATTCCCATATTCATTTTATTATTAAAGTAGATTCTACACGTAGTAAAATCCTGTTTTTTTATACCATTGAGTTGGCAAACAAGCATACGGCCCACCTGATGGTAAGCGTTACCGTAGCCTATGAACGACTGCAATGTCAGGGCATTACGCTGTTTGTCGTGAAGTAAAATGTACCCACTTTTACATTTAATATTTTTAATATACGTAGACTCAGTTGGGGGGAAAGGGATTGTTAGCAACGGAGTTTGCTAGCAATATGCCCTATTAGGTTGACCTCCACGTGGTTCCCTCCCCCTGGAAACCATCGTGAACAATTTTTGTTGAATTCGTCTCGATGGGCCAACAGACCTGCTTCATCCTCACTTATCATTCTTCACTGGTGCTCCGCGAACGTATCCCGATTGCGCAGGCGGGGTTACCATTCTATTATCATCCATTAAAAAAAAATACACATAGACTCGTGCCATGTTTAGTTATGACTGGCTGTATCTCGCGGCTTTGCATACTTAAATCAGTATATAAAATGTATAATGTGCTAAGTTAATATATAAACCAATCTTTGTATCAAATTTCATATAAATCTGTTTAGTACTTTTTTAATAATAGAGTAACAAACATCCATCTATTCTTACAAACTTTTATATTTACGAATTTAATAGTAGAAATATATTGATACCTGAAAACTTAACCCCTTATTCATAAAAAAGTCAAACTTTTCACGAATCTACTTTATCTATTGAACTGTTTTGTCTCTTTCTTTTGTGCTAAATTCCCAATTTGATAGAAATTGATAAAACAGTGTAATACTTATAATATACTTTTTTTTTTAAGGTAACATGTAGGCCGCTTTTTTTAAATTTTCATTTTTTTTTATTATATGGTTTATAGTTATTATTTAGTATTGTAGTTGGTTAGTTGCTAGATACATACGATTGTCTTCGTTGATGTAACTAACTACTATACGTTTTAATTGGTCCGTTTTGGAATCCTGCAATGAGGAGGAGGGCGTTGATATTCGCAACACAGTTTTATATTGTAACCAATGTTTTTGTTCCAAATAAATTATTATTATTATTATTTGTAGGAGATTTAAGTTTTTATGAATTAGGAGGTTAGTCTAAAATATAATAGTGATTGGCAATTTTACATCAGACAGGATTTTGAGGATGAACCTAAGAACAAGGAATTACATAGGAGTGATAAAATTGTCAATTTATAGCAGACTAGTGTATAGAAACCTGCCAAATTCAGACACAACCTGCTTGCATACGTTCTACATAAACTGTGTCGAATATATAATCTAGTAATGTAAAGTTTGTCATTGACAAATCAAACATTTTCTATATAGAAAAATGACAACTGATGGTGTATCTTTCGTCCTCTTTTTACTAAATTATATTTGCATAAGAAGAAAGGAGGCAACTATGTGATTTACAGTTTTTATTTTATCATTCCTTCTATGTAATTCCTTGTTCCTAGGAATGAACCATAGGTAATTCCATTTGGCTATGCATTGTAAAGACCGCTATATACGAGGCATGAGGATAACAAAACAGCCAGCGCATGTATACACATTCATACAAGTTCATAAAACGCGTCTGCGTTCCATACAATAGCGCGATGCAACGCGACACGACGCTAAAACCCGACGGTAACATGTGGAAGCAAGTGCTTGCATCTGTACGAGTTTCGTTCGACTTAACCCCCCCGCGGCTGCGGGCGCTTTTTGTCCCGGCCTCAGGTACGAACAGCAAAAAACACAGGCGAAAAAATACCACCGCTTTCTCTGTGGGGGTACGACTGAATTGTAATGATGGAATTTTCATCTAAAACCCAAACGTATCCCGGCTAGATAAGGTCTATTATACAAAAACACACCCTTTTCACGTTTCGGATAGCAACGCAGGGGTCTAATGACACGTGAGACTTTTTATAAGATTATTTTTTACAGTCTCAGTTAATTAGATCTCAAATTGAAGGTTTCTGTTTACTAATTTATTTTTAATCAACTGGTATTCTAATGGTTCAGATTGAATATAAATTCTTTTTAGGTATTTTCCTTCAATAATTTAATTCAAGTCTTCTTCCTCTTTGCACGGGTATACTGCGCTTTTCTCCCTAGTTGCCTCTCCCAATATTCTATTGATTAAAAGGTATAGCTATTGAATTAACAACTGAAATAATAATAGTAATAAGTATATTCTTAGATATCTGGAAAAATCCAGGCAATGGAATTGATTTTATTTACTTATACTTTATTATATAATATAATACATAAAAATTACTATGTTTTAATTTATTTTGAATAAAGATGTACAACAGACGAGTTTCACTTTGTAAGAGTTCTCTTCCAGTAAATCCAGAGTAGAACATGCAATAATCTTATGCTTACATTCTATAAAAATATATCTTGTGGGCAAATTTATATATTTTCTTATGATAACTTTTTTCGTTTTAATTTCTGTAATTTTTAAATGTTTTGAATAGGAATTGGAAACATGAATCTAGTTAGTATAGTTTCTTTTTAGCGATATTATGTATTTAAAGTTCAATTGATTAGTTAATTATGTACCCTCAGAGGCAAAACATAACAGCGAATAAATCCTTACTTACAAGGTGTGGAAACTCGTTCGGGTGCCAAATCTCCGGGCGGGTCGACAAACTGGTCGCAATTGGCAACGGCTTCCACGCTACGCGAAGCAAAGCTGCCAAGAGGCGTCCACATTACGGCTAGCTTGCCAGGTGCTATGCCAAGATTGGCTGATTTTTTTCTATCCGCAATGACGTAGCATTAAGTCGTCTTTGTATATGATGGCATATTTTCTTCTTTCCTTATCATTATTCTTTTTCAAGTTTCGTTTTTTCATTTATTACTATCAATATGAGCCGCCCCAAGCTCCTTGAAGGGTAGAAGAAATTATAGTAGCAAAAATTCTAACATATATCTCTTGATTTATTCGCCTCCATAACGTATGCATGTACGACAAACTTTTGATTCCTTCCTTTAGATAGTATACGGTGATTCAGATCCCTATAGATTAATAACTTATTAAAACTACAGACAGTTTTAAACTTTAAATGAATTTCAAAAGAAGGAGGTGAATCGAGATTTTCAATTAACAAACGTTTTTGTTTGCTTGTCACATTTTGGGGGCTAAAATAAAAACCTGTTTTATAATATTTAGTTTCAGAAACATTTTATATAAACAAACAAACAAAATTTAGCTGCGTAATATAATTAGTTTTTGAGACCAAAGTTAAAGAATAGATTGTAACTTGTAAATTTAAGCGAATGTAGTATAAAGAGTCTTATTTCTGACCTGCTTGGGTGGGTAGGTGGCGTAAAGTTTTTAAAGCCTACTAAAATGGTAAGTTGCTATGGTTGGGGCGTGACAGGCCCTTGTCGGCTGGTTTGTTGCTTCTCCCATTGGCAGAGTTATGGAGTTATTGTCAAATTAATACGCTCGTACTTTGTTGTTTATCGCTGCGCGTGAGATTACTTTATGGTTCGCCGCCATGTTGTTTTCGATCGTTCCAATTGCGCTTATATGATCGCGTATAAAAATATGCGAGTGTTAATTTATAAAGTTCATTAGAATGAAGATTACAAAAAAAATTTGTCTTTTTGTCCGTAATATGTCCATATATAAGAAAGTGGTAAGACACTTGATAATATTTTGTGACTTCAACATGACATTTTGGTGTATTACTCTGAAGCGTAGTACTGTGTAGGTCTTTGCAAAGTTTGTATTACCTGTCAAAACTCAAACAAATTTCGTATAATTTCTCAACAATAAATAGAGAATTAAAACGTCAATCACGCAAAAGATTTCTATTAAACTATTGCGGAAATATTGAAATTTAACGGTCAATGTATTTAGAAATTTAATAATTAAAGTTTTAAAGCATCAGAAAACCATTTTAAAATAACCTAAAATTTACAGTTATTACTATAGCAGACTTTGCAGTACTTAAATGCGTATTGTGTACTCGTACACACGTTGCATACCCAAATACTTCGACCGAGACCAGCGAAGTTTGACTGTCATTCTTGCATGCGCGGAACACATCAGAGCATTAACAAAAAATTATAGGCGATGGAAGGGCAGGTAGGTACCTAAGAGCAATTTATTTTATTATTGATACAAAGTTATTGCTCCAAATTACAGATGATTGTTGTGGTACGGTCGGATAGGCCCCGGGTCGCGCTGGAGGGTTATTTATAGTTTTGATTACTTTTGCCGGCGTCGAAAAATAAAATCGGGGTTATGAGTTTTGTATGCGTTTGTGATTTATCAGCGTCGGACTGGGTAGGTAGCGAAAATATCAACGTCCAATAAAATTGGCAGACTTTTATAGGTTTTTATGTTATTAATGTTCATATTAATTTAATTTTATACCCAACTAAATTTATTACCGAACAGTTTTAACACAAAAATAATCAATATTAAATATCTTATAAAGACGAATAAAAAAAAATATGGAGTTTGTCATTTCAAGTCGTTTTCGCTACAGTCGTGAGACATATAAAATAAATAGTTGTTCAAAATGGAAATAAGCAATAGACATGTAGTAAATTGTAATAGGTGTAATTATTTAATTGTAGTAGGCAGTATCTATTTAAAAAATGGAGGCTTCAGTTGATTAATTTAGATATGGGTTATATGAAAGAAAATATTATAATAAATAAATTATATTTTGATTATAAAATGAAAATATTATAAGATTTTGTTCCATAAAAATTCACCTTTTTCAATCGTGGCAAAATAAGTTATGTATTTTAATTTAAAAACTAAAGTACTGTACTAATTTTGATAAAATTTCCATATATGTATATCCTTTCTAATAAAGTAAGAATTTTCCAATTCAGTTTATAAATGACGGAGTTACGAGGTAGGAATAAAGATAAAAAAACAACCGAATTGAGAATTACCTTCTTTTTCGAAGTCGGTCGAAAAAATGAACAATTTCACGGCCGCAACAACATAACAATAAAACACCAAATTACTTCAATACTTATAAAACAAAAAAACACGAACTGTTTGAAGAGTTCAGAAACCATCCAAATGTACATGTAACAATCTACTTCCGGCCGCTTCGAACCCACGACCGTCTAATGCGATGCGTTAATGATAACACCGGCCCCGAAATGTGGTGTTGCCATTGTTTAAAACAAGGTCTGATCACAAATAAGAACACTTGGCGAATCTGTTTGAAAACAATATAAACTATACTTAATTGTAGTACAACTGATTTTTTAACTGACGACAAAAAACAAGAATCGCAATTCGGTTGCATTTTTTTTTTTATATTTATTACTTCATAACTCACAGTCAGTTCTAAACCGATTTGAATTTTTTTTATCTGAAAGGATACACTTGGGACCACCCGTAATTATTTCTTATTCTACAAGCTCTTATATTTTGACAGAATGAAACAAAAGTAGGCTATGTCGTTTTCTATCCCATATAGCAGCCCATAGGTTACGGTAACCCCGTTTACCATCAGACAGGTCGTATGTTTGCCACCATAGTAGTATTAAAAAATAATTATTAAAGTCTCTTCACAATCAGAAAAAAGCGGACGAATTGGGAAACTCCTTTGTTAATCTTCAATATACCCAACAATATCGGTTAGACATACGCTTTAAGATAAACTAATCTAATCGCCCCGTTAATAATTCCCACGCGCTCTGTTAAAGTAAATATAGGTAGGTAAACGTTCATAAAATAGGCATAGATGGTGAATTGAAAGGGCATATTAAATGTAACCATTGACAAACAACGTAATCACGAAAATTGTGTATTTACGCAGAAGAAAATGTAAATATTATATATTCTTTTTAAGAGTCCCTATTTCGTTGAATACAAGATTGCCCTGTAAATAAACCCAGAAAAAATAAAACGAGTAATATAGTTTTATCTATGGTCATACTATTTTTAATTTAAAAATATTTTTTTTTATCCTAATTAGAATTATACTCTTTTTTTTTTTTGTTGTAAATGAGAATTATTGCCTTGAGAACATTGTTGTTTGCTTTTGTTGATGATATGGTTAATTATTACATATGAAAGGATGTTACCATAGACAAAAAGTAGCACCTTAGATAATGATTTATCTATGATTCTACTTATAAGACTGGTATACTTAGACGAGTGATTGTTTGTTTTTTATACTAACTCTATTTTTAGGTTTGTATTCTTTAAGACCTCTTATGTTTTAAACTTTTTAAATTTTTCTTTTAAAAGATAACAATCTCAAATCAAATCAAAGTTCTTTTTTCATTTTAAAATTTATTTAAAGTAGGCGTTTATTTTTTTATTTTCCGCAACTTTAGAAACTCTTTATTTTATATACTTTATTATTTAAACTCATTTATTGCACGAATATTAGATGAAATCAAATTCAAATTCAATTGAAATCAAGTCCATTCCATTCAATAAAAATAATATATTTGATTTTTGTGTTTGATATTTGTCATATATACATATATATTTATTTAGTAATATTTTGTTTGCTAGATATATAGATATATAAAATATTTGATGTCCAATATTTGGGTCAGCTATACAAACTGGGTCGGTTGAGTGTGCGCACCGATACAGCATCGATACGATAGCGAAACGATAAATTACGTAAACTACTCAATCTATTATATTTACCAGCGTTAGGTTTTGGATATTATGTGAAGTGCTGAGTATATTGACCTCGTTAGACGAGGAATGTGGAGTAATCCGTTTGTCAAATATACTCAGTGTTGCCTCGTTTGAACAAATTTTTAGATTTACCCACAAAAAAAAAATAGGTTAGCTAAACGGTGTCGGTATCTCGCTTTTTACTAATGTTCAGGAACTAGTAATTAACTGAAATTTAACTGCAATGGCTTAATTATAGATGCAAAGAAAAAAAAACATTAATAGACAATGTTTAGATTCGTATATTTTTTGAATACTCTGTTATCATCATCATCATCATAATTATATCAGCTGTTAACTGTCCATTGATGAATATAGACCTCCCCCTATTGGGGGGTGTTGCCAGTAGTTGCTACGCTTGGCAGGTTAAGGGAACTTAACCATTGAGGGATGGGCAGCAGAGTTCTTTTTAAATATCATCAAAGCCTAACTGCAGTTGCCGACTTTAAAGAAACTTTAATACACCCTTTTTGAAAAACCTTTTTTGAAAAATACTGTAGTTTCGAGGAAAAACCTCGACAGGGAGTTTATTCCACAGTCTAAGCGTTCGCGGGAAAAAAATCCTTTTGAAACCGCACAGTACGTCTTATACAGGATTTTTTACTATTAAGACAAGAAAACTACGTAATATCACCTAACATAGGAGGCAGGGGGGAAAGGGATTGTTAGTAATGGAGACTAAGAATCCCATTGCTAGCAATATACCTAACCAGGTCGACCTCCACGCGGTTCCTCCTGGAAACTATCATGGTTTATTTCCTGATGAATTTATCATGATGGGCTAACTGGCCTGTTTTCATTTTCATCGATCACCCTTCACTGGTGCCCCGCTAGCGTATACCGTTAGCGCAGGCGGAGTTATCATTCCATTTTCACCTATCAAAAACAAAAAACATGGGAGGCAAAGTAACTATACTATTTTAGAAATTTAGCGGAATAAATTCTTCCTAGAATCTACATAATGACGGTCGGCAGTTAGGTCCGCCAGCTGAATATCGCGGTAATGTTACAAAATGACCAATATCACCTCGATTCGCCACATTAGACCCCCGCTCTAGGAACAATTATGGCTGAAACCAGTGGCTTAGTAATCCAATGGATTTAGGACAATCCTCCCATATTACGTATGGCCGAATTGCTCTAAATTTCTCTGGAGACTTTGATGAGACGAATCGAGCTAATTCGTCCACATTTTAGTTACTGAAATAAAAAAAAAATACAGCAAAATAGATATTTATTATATTCTATGGCGACGTTTCTGCTTAGTGCTGTAGACCGATTAAAAAAATATATACTCAATAGAGAATTGGACAAAACATCTTTTTTGTATATTATTTTTTTCACGCTATTTAACGAGAATGCTTTGTAAAAAGGTAAAAGTTACAGGTAAAGTTTTACTCAAAAACACTTTATACAATGCCAAAGAAGGGTAACATATTTATGAATTTATTTATTTATTTACTTAGTTAAAGATTGTGTCCAACAAAAAAAAAAAAACCGACTTCAATTTCAACATATACAGTTATTTTGATTTAAAACTAAATTACTGGACCGATAATAACAAAATTTCTATGGGACCACTTTATATTCTTCCAGATAAAAAAGAAACTTTCAAATTTTCAAAAAGAAATTTATTTTTTTACATCACCACATTAAAGGTATGTCGCGCGGATCAAGGACCTTTTGAGACATGTAGTACAATAGCAGACTGTCAGTCAATTATGACTTGCTTTGTCATAATTGACGTTGAAAAATGACATGGAATTGTGTGCATATAAGTAGATCACTATCGGGTCCAAATCGACAGCCGGTTTTGTATCGAATGAATTAAAAAGAGATCTCGAAGGGTTAACGTTTCTCATTTTACGGAATATATCTTTTATTATCTGTATTTTATGGTTGCTTTTTGTGTTTTTTTTTATTGCCTAGGCAGCAAACAAATATAAGGATAAGCGATTACCAGAAGTATTTCGCGCTCGTTGCCGACCCCGAAGAAACTTCTTTACCCCTTTACTGATTTTATGAAAACTTCGGTAGAGGGATCATTCTATAACTTGAGCATTTGTGAGAGGTAGCACCTCTGAAACCGCGCTGTATGCGACTATCTAGGTTCCAAGGTGGATGGATAATATTTAATTTTATAATATCAACTGTGATACCCACTATCACAGTTGATTTAAAGATGCCATTTCTCTAACCTATATCTTTAACTTATATTTTTTAATTTCATCATCATCACATCAGCCTTTAACTGTCCACTGCTAAACATAAGCCTCCCCTTTGGGTTTGCTATAGTTGCCACGCTTGGCAGGCTGATTAGCAACGACAGATAACCTTTGGAGATATTTTAAGAGGAACGCTACTGTTCATCTCTCGCTCTCCCTTACTCGCTTTTACGACACCCACAAGAAGGGTTGGCCTATTTTTTGCCGGGACCACAAAATATTTTTAATTTAATAATTTTAAATTACTAAATAAATTACTGTTTTATGTTATTCTCATAAATTAAAATTACACAATCATTTTGACTTAAATCTATTAGAAAATGAGTTCATATTAGTCCTTATTAAAAGAAATTTCGCGGTAATATCAAATTATAATTTTGGAGATCTCCAAAATCGAGGCCAGTATATAAGACCATCAAAACATCGTTTACAAAGGAAACGCATATAAACTGTTTTTGTATGCTAATTGTCTATAGATTTAATTACATAATTATCGCTAATGCAAGTACATTAAAGGCGAAATAACTTTTTGGTATAATTCCATTATTGCGCTCGGTCTGTGTCAGAGCGTAAAATATAATAACTTGATTCTTCCTGCGTCTGATTGGAGCTAATTTAAGTCGACCTCCCATCTCACCCTCTTGTGCCAATTATTGTCTGACCTGAGGGTATTTGACTATTTGACCCTCCCGCGATGATACAATTACGATTCGTCAAAGGAAAAATTATTCGATTCCATAATATAAAGGAAGGCAAATCAGGCTTTCATAACAGAATTCAAATCGGCCAAGTTTTTGATTACTGTCGTTTAATAATAATAACGAGCTACTGATTTATAAATAGTTTACGATAGCTGAAAATCGTTCGATATTTGCTGTCAATCTTCATTATTAACATGTTTTGTATTACCTAAAAGCGATTAACGAGCGATCGGTGGTGGTGCCTCTGCAGAACAATTTGAGAACTAAAATTACTAATTAGGTCTATCGTTACTTAATTGCAAGCAATTAAACTTAATATGGTAATACCATTGTCCTTAACAATTAGTAAAAGTTCACGAAACGATCGCATATTTGTCAAATAGATAATTCAGAATACATACTATGTCTCCTGTGGTGATTTTTTTTTGTACTGAGAACTAAAAATTAAAAGAAATAAAGAATTAATTTCATATTTCCCTTATACTATAAAATAGTAGTAAAATATACTATAAGA